AGGAGGAGGAGGAGGAGGAGGAGGAGGAGGAGGAGGAGGAGGAGGAGGAGGAGGAGGACGGGGAGGAGGAGGAAAAACTAACTGACTTTTATGACATAGGTACTATCTCTAGGTTTATATCTGGACAGTCTTATCATACCAAGGATAAAATGAAACTTCTGACGTGCTTGCAGGCAATATAGGCAATATATATTCTAGCAGGCCCTTTGCACCATTATCTAACTGATTCCTCAAAACTACCCTGCAAATTAATCACTATTATCCTCACCATAGAGGTAAGGAAGCAGAGACTCAGAGGTAAGATAACTTGCCAAAATCTTGGAATCAGAGAGGCAGAACTATGATCAGAATCAAAATGTAATTAATCCAAGTTTTTACTTCCCAAAGCAAATTTTATTATCAGTTGCTTGCTTCTTTCCAGGCAGATCTTCAATGAGACTTTTAAGTTAATATTCAATCATGTTCTATTTATACAAAAGAAAGAAAACTTTAAAATAAGAATAATATAGACTTAAAAATAAGAATAATATAGCAAACAACAACTCTGGAAATCATTCAAATATAAGGTTATTTTGGTTGCCTCATTACACCCAGCTTGCATCCCTCCACCGAAAAACAAGCCAAAAAACTCACTCTTCAAAATTTTAATGCCCAGTCATATACAGACATTTATAGAGCACATGAACAACTACTTAAAATTTTAAAAGATACATTTGTTTTCACTAAAAGCTCTTTTAACTGTAAATACATGCTAAATTGTAATGAGGGGAAAAACCACAGAGTATTTCACCTCTTCCCACAGTGGTATAAATAAGACAGACCTACCAACCCTAAGGTACTTTTATACTTGATCTTAGACAAAAGGCCAAGAAGACATAACCGTCAGGTATTTTTGAATTTTACAAATATTTAGTATAAACAAAAGCTTAGAATTAAAAGTTTTTGAGAACTAGAAAGTCAAAATGTAGTATTTCTGTTATTAAAATGTGATGCTTTAGGCCAGGTGTGGTGGCTCATGCCTGTAATCCCACACTTTGGGAGGCCAAGGTGGGTGGATAACAAGGTCAAGAGATCGAGACCATCCTGGCCAACATGGTGAAACCCCATCTCTACTAAAAATACAAAAATTAGCTGGGAGTGGTGGCACGTGCCTGTAGCCCCAGCTACTCAGGAGGCTGAGGCAGGAGAATTGCTTGAACCCAGGAGGCGGAGGCTGCAGTGAGCCGAGATCGCGCCACTGCACTCCAACCTGGTACCTGGCAACAAAGTGACACTCTGCCTAAAAACAAACAAACAAACAAAAAACAACAACACAAAAAAAGTGATACTTTAAAAAACTAGCACAATAAAGATTTTATGATAATCTTATGTTTGCTAATTATTATAGTTCAATTGCATTAATCTCATAATTTAAATATGTTTTCCAAGAAAAAACTTACTTGAATTGCAGGCTGCATAGTCACCTATGTTGAACTGAAATTTCTTTTCTGAAAAAAGAACAAAATATTAACATACAGTTAACAATGCAAGTTTTGTTACTTTCCCAAACCCCCAAATTACAAGATTTAGGAATGTGTTTATTCGACTGCAAATGCAAAACTTTTCTTCTAGTTAGAACAGTCTGACTACAAGAGAATTCATATCACTCCTTGCTTCTTACTTCAGAAAGGACTACTTATTTGAAAAAGTAAAACCTGAAACAGACTTTAATATAATATGTAGTTTCTGGTATTATCATCAAGGTAATTCTTGAACCATCTGGACAGTTTTGAAAAAAAATCAACAATAAAATTTAGCTCATATGAAAGTCTCCCAGAATTTTATTTTTCCCTGTGAACATAGCCTGTGAACATAATGTAAGTATAAATATTACAACAACTGATATTAAAAGTCAAGTATCTTTTGTCATCAAAATCATAACAGGTCATATGGACTGCATAAATTAATAAACTTAACTATAAACTTATTCTGCTACACAAGGTAAATTGTGAACCAAAAGGCACAATGCCTTCCTATAACAATTTTCAAAAGAAAAAAAAAACAAAAGAAACAGTAATTTTAGCTCCAAAGTGGTATTCCTGAAATCTACATGGAAAATTATACTTTAATTTATTGAATTAGGTAACTGCAACTCTTTTCTATATTTTCAGAAGGATAAAAGTGAAGAGTTTAAAAACACTCAATAATATAGACTATATAAAATCTAGGATTTTTTTTATTGCTCATAGCAGCATAAACTAGTCTACTTTTATTATAAACCTCCTTTAAAACATTTTAAGAAAAAATATACAGTAATTATAAAGCTATAATGCTATTACTTTCAAGAAAAAGTTATTTTTTCCTCTAAATTATATCAGACATACCTCATGCACAGTGTCAACTATACATACCACTTTTCCTTTCAGGAATATTTCTTCTAGTACCAAAATTCAACCTGAGCTAAACCATACTGAAAAACCTAATATTATAAGACATTTTCTTTGCAGGAAGGCGAAACACAACACAATGTCCTTTTGGATGTCATTTTC